CTGTACAACAATCATTTTGCAGGTCTTATGGGACAATGAGCCTGATATGCAAACTGGCGCACAATTCCCATTCTTGCTGGCATTGAAACTCCGATTAAGTTTCTAAAATGCGATGTAACTGTTTAAATTTCTGAATCGAATGTCACAGTCAAAGTCCATACCTCAATCTAAAATGTATCTTCTTCCTTCGTTCGCTATATAGACAAGTAATGTGAATATTCTGCAAGTTCCATAAGAAAAATATAACTCGGATTCGCTAGCAATGTTCAGAGTGTAGGCATAGAAAACATAAAACAAAAGAAAGATTGGTGTTATATCGCATAATCAATCAGTTCAAAGTCCACAATTAAATTGTAATGAAAAATGCAGATTAAAGGTTACACTAAAATCACCTCACATGAATCAAATCACTATTACCAAAAAACACAAACTTGCAACAAATTCTCCACCACTAATACCATAAAAAACACAAACTTGCAAGAATCCATAAACCCATTAAAGCTTAAGAAACAAGAAAACGTTTTTGTATCAAACCCATATGAAAAAATCTCCGAAAATGCACCCAAAAGAAACCCTAAATCAGCCAACTGAAATCAACCAAATTCTAAAAAAATTGGCAACAAATTTCGCATGAAAGTAAACCTCAAGGCAACAAAAATTCAGATTCTGAAGATAAAAACACGAGAAAATGATCATTACCTCAATAAGCTGAAATCGACGATCCAATGCTTAAGAAGAAACAAAGGACGGTACTTTCCGACGCAGACGAATTAGGGTTTTCAGACACATGCAGGGTTTACCGGCGATTTGCAGAGAAAACACCGGTAAACAACGAGTCAACAATGAATCTCCGGAGAGATTTGATTTTTTTTTTTTTTTCCAAATTGAGGGAAAGGAAAAAAAATAAGAACAGATCGATGTATATACGAGGCAAAGGTATCACCTGTTTTTTAAGTTATTGGGCCTTGACTTCATTTAAACTTGTTTGGGCTATTTATAATTGGGCCTGATTTGTTGTGGCTACATTGGGATCACAATTTCACTTAGCTAGTACAACATTTTTGTTTTGTTGCATTGTTTCAGATTTTCAGACTTTCAGTGATAGAAAAAGTGGAATTTGTTCCATATAATTTCTTTCAAATATATTTCGTTAATACCAAAAAAAATTATTATCTCGATTTTTTTTTTATATATATACAGTCTTTTATTTGAATTGAGAGTTAAATTTTATTCTAACCAAAACTGATTTACAAAAAATGCGTCATAGGTAAGAAGAAGCTGAAAATTTTAATTAAGAAATTTGAGTGCTTAATCAACACATGAGACTATCCTCAAATCTCTTGTCACCTTGAGATCGAATCGTGTTAATTTAACCGGTTTTTCAATGTCTTGTCGATGAGCTTCACTAGCCTCATTCGAGACGAAGGCT